ACATGGAGGTAAATATCGTAAGAACTAAAAGAGTACAAATGACTGCCTCTGGGGAATAAGTATAGAGAAGCAAAGGGATCGAGTACTACAACTTTTTAGAAGCTGTGTCAAAAAAAAATCTGCTGGCAAGCGCAAGGTCGTGAGTTCGATTCCTGGTACCGGAGAAAAACCAAAAAAAAAAAAAAAAAAAAATCTGGTTGCTCCTATAATTTCTATTTTTGTTTTTTCCTTCCTTATTAACAGAATCATAGGCATGAATTGATCAAGAAAATGCAAAAATTTAAAAAATAATTCCTAACATTCTGTTCAGATGGGCAAGAAGCTGGAAGAAGTCACTGCATAGGATTTAGAGCAGGCTGGTTCTACATTATCTCACAGATACCCTGTTCCTGCCACAAGAAAATCAGGTGTGCTAGCTGGAAGATCATCAACTGCATGAAATCATGAAACAAACTCTGCATTCAGAGATAAGGATGACTGATAAGAAACCGCAAATAACTGTACAATAATAATGACATTATACCATCCCTACCCTGTCTATTCAAACTTTTTAGATAAGAAATGCAGACCTTGCTTAAGCTTCTGAAATCAGGTCTCTATTAGTAGCAAAATGTAATTCCTAATATTTAGGCTGTATATGACTTCTAAAACAATGCAGATTAAATATAACTAAAAGATATTTCTAATTAATAGCAAAAAAACAGTAAAAATGTACTATATACCCTATGAAACTTTTCATAGGGCTGGAACTACCATGTAAATTCTCTACCAACACCAAGAGATAAAGACATTTTTTTTTTTAAAAAATTAAATTGAATTTCTCTAAAGAGACATTTGCACATACTTCATAAAAATAGTGAGGTAAAGCCTATTTTTCTGTTGTTTGTCTCTAGCCCTAATTGCTTAAATATTGTTTAAAAATCATTACTTTTTCTCACATATATGTGAGTATTAATCATGTAAAGTACTAGAGTCCCAAAGCAAAGGGATAGCAGGGCTTCTCAACCAGACCGTATTAATATTTTAGACAAAGAATTCTTTGTTGTTAGGGCTGTCTTGCACATTGAAAAATGTTCAGCAGTATCTTTGGCCTCTATCCACTAACTGCCAATTATGACAATCAAAAATATTTAGAAATTTCAGAATGTGCCTCACCAAAAAAATCTCCAAAAACCCTGCCATAGAGAAAATATAGTTGTTTTGCAAATCATTGTGCTTTACCTGGAGCATTTGGTAATAAACATAATGTTATAACAGAATTTCAAAAGTGTCACATTTTAAACTGTAATCTTTATTGCAGGATACAAACTATAAACTACCTACAGATTAGATTATCTCTAATGTCCCTCTTAAACCTTCAGGGGATTTCACATGACAGAAATATTAATAGCGTCTGTATTTAATCCTGTCTGTGCTAAGTACAGTACTGGGCACTGTATGTTCACTCTCCTTTTATACTAATGATATTTTCATGGGATGGCTATTAAGCATAGTGTAATAAAAATAATTTTAAAGTCTACTTTAATGAACATATCAAAGTGTTTCCAAAAGTACTTACTCTTCACTACATTCATTGCCACGCCAAGACTGAGAACGTATCTTGTTTATAATTTATGACCAAAATTTTTTTCAATACACCTGATAATTTTAATGACTTTCAGGAATTAGGGTAATTTTCATAGTAACTAAAAAGTCAGAGACAACAATGATTCCTGAAGTATTTTTTTCCATTTTGGCAAAATGAAAGAGTACTTCATAACTTTTTACCCATGATTCTTCAGTAGTTTCTGGAACTTTTTTTGATTCCTTTGTAACTTCACATTAAAATTATTTGAGGATGTTATTTGTAATTTCAGTATGTCTTTCATTAGAGATTGAAGGCTGGATTCAAATTCTAATTTGCAGTCAGACATAATGGTAAACATCTGTAAGCCTAGTACTCTGCAAGGATGAGGCAGGAGGATTTCAAGTTCAAGGTCTGCCTGGGAAACTCAGTAACTTAGGAAGACCCTGACTCAACAATAAAAAGTTAAAAAAGCACTAGGGATGTACAGCAGTGTGAAGGCTCTGGGTTAAACAAGTACAAACAAGAAAAAAATCCGAATTTGTCCACTTAACTGGAACCTAAGAGGCATAAATTTGTTCAGGCATCAACTTCAGCAATGTAACTAAAGGAAGTTAAGATTAATAGGCTCTCAATGAAAGTTACTTCCCCCTACCTTTCATCATGAAAGCAAATGAAGTATTAGTTAAGGCCCAATTCTATTTAAGAGCTGTTGACAGTCTACTAAAAAGGGCCAAAAGAGTATATAATACAGTCCGACATTAAACTCTTGTCTTCTGCTTTACTTTTCATTACAATAAAAGACACAAGAACCTCTCTTCAAAAGTATTCCCTCCCCTCTCCTTTCACCCTGCCAAGAATTTTTTTCGTTAGTACATGTTTGCAATTCACAGAGCTTACAACCATCTTGGGGAATGCTTATGTGTATATATTACAGCTCCCCCGTCCCTTTCTCCTCCCGCCCCACTCCCCTATCACTTTTTAAGTACTTGTTGATATTATTGGTCTCAGCTCAGGTTACGGCATGTAATGTTTACATTGATTGGTTAGTATGATCCTGTACATGGCACATCTTTACAAGGCACCAGATTCTGCCAAGGACTTTTGATTCATATTGCCCTCTAAAAGGAGGAAGACAAACTGGAGCCTTTCTTCTCAATACCACTGCGCTGTGTATGTAATTCATATATTTAGTTAACTGTCACCTACCCAAGTGCCTATTACCTATTTTAAATATTATTCATGATTAAGTCATGTATTAATGTATGCATGTTACTTAATACTACCCTTAGTAAATATTAGGAAACCAAAGCTTTTAAAAAACAACCTTTGGGAATCAGAGTTTATAATCCACTGTTTCCCTTACTAGCAAATAAAACAGAATTGTTATAGTATCATTTTATTATTCAGTAGATAAAATCCCACTTAGTACAGGTGGATCTTTTGTTCCACCTAAAAGTTCAAATAAAGAACATAATTTCATAAAGCTCACCTACGGTGGAACCAAACAGAAACTAAGGAGAGGATCGATTGGTAATCTAGTGTTAGAAAGTAAGGAAGGAAGTTTCAGGTAAAGTGGACAACATCAAAGTAAGTCGAATGACACTCATAACAACCATATGCAGTAAAAATCTGTTCAGTTCTTCTCATTCAGTTTTATTTCCTTGAATATTCAGGAGCTAGTAGGACCTTTAAAAAGTCAATTTCATTTGTTCCTAAATTTTACTGTCAATTTTTACTATTTTACTGCCAATGACTAGACACTTTTTCACAAGCTATATTTATTTCTTTAGTCTTAAAATTGACATCAAGAAACAAAACAGAGGTACATCTTCAAAACTGTTCTCCAAAACTGTTCTGGCACTCAAATAAAATTTCATATTCTTCAGCAATTAAACGTTATTTGATGAAACAATAAAACTAAGGTAGCCAAAACCAGGCTGGAAGTATACTCATTAATACATTAAAAACATGAATTGTGTCAAATTTTCAAAGTTTAAAATTTCTATAGATACAAATTTACCAACTGAATGGCTTCTAGGTATAAAATGTATTGGTAGAAACAAATGCTTTAAAACAACAGTGAACTTCTAAATCAAGTGAATGTAATTATCAAAATAAAATTACATCTTCAAGAAAATCAGTAGAAAGCAATGTCAAAGAAATTGATGCACTCTTTAATACCAAAATGGTATCAGCCTCCAACTTATCTATGGCACCAGGGGAAAAAATGACATCAAAATTTAAACTTAAGCATTAAAATTGTCAATTTTCACCCTTTCTCTTTCTTGTTAGATTTTCATATTTGTTACCAGAATGAAACTAATAGCTGATCCAAACTCATTACATGTTTACTCATTTAACTACTATTCCTAGTACAAGAGGTTAAGTAACTTGGGGAGTCAGTATTTGAACCTGGCAGTACAGCATCCAAGACAATAAATTTTAAAGGGAGGAGGATGAAAAAGGGATCAGTAATATTTTTTCCAAAGCAGTTTGCAAAACAAGAGTGTTGTGAATGAGAATAAACATTTAAATTACAAATGATGAGAATGTGGATTACAAAACTTTACCCCTAAACAAGTACATTGTTTGTATGATATTTCATTACAGTCAAAGTCTAGACTGCATCCAATCCTAATGGGAAATTATGTAGTGTCACTGTTTGGACACTAAATTTTACAGGCTAAGCAAAGTGCACTGTAATTTAACGAACGAGAAGGGTGGTGATGTAACCTGACCAATAGTTTTAAGCAAAAGGACGTTCTCCACGAGCAGTTAATTAGGGAAGAGTGCGTGTGTCAAGAAGGAAGGAGATTTAAGAAAAAGAAAGTTGAGCATCACGCACTCACTTAACGCCCCACCCTTGAAAGAAAAAGTAACCGAACCACCCTGGGCGAGCGCCAAAGCCAACTGGAGAACTGGCTCGGCGGGACCGGGGAGCGGATGACAGGAGACCCCCGCAGAGGGGGAGGGGTGCGGATGACAGGAGGAGGCGCTGGAGAGACGCGTGCCTCGTCTCCGAAAGGGGAACGCCGCGCGAGGACGAGACGCAGGAAGAAAATGTTTTTTAGCGGAGACTGCACACGACGTGACGGGGACAGGGTGAGACCTAGGAAAGGCGGGACCCTCGGGCAGGAAGGGGTCTGTCTGGGCAGGGAGGCACGTCGGGACAGCGCTTTCCGGCGACCTGACCCTCCTCGCCAGCCCCTCCGCCGCCGCCAACTCTCACTGTCCCGGCAGCCCCGCGCCGCCAGGTCCTCGGGTCCGCTCCCGTCCCCGCCCGGCGGGGTAGGTGCCGGCGGGGGGATGGGGCTCCCTGCACCCTGCGCGGAGGGCTGGGGCCGCGACCGAGCACACAGCCCCGCTCCGCCGGCCAGACGCCAAAGGCGCAGAGGCCCAGGCCCGGTGACAAGCGGCGGCGGCGGCGCCTCACCTGACAGAAGCGCCGGCAGTAATCCCGACTGCTGATCCCGGCTCCGTCGTCGCCGCCGCCGCCGCCGCCAGCGCCACCTCTGCAGTCGCCCGAAGCCCCGACCCCTACAGGGCCGGGGGGGGACTCCACAATGGCCACGAGCTCTTCTCCGAGGCGCTCGGCCTCTTGGTCGCTCTCTTCCTCCGCCATGAGGCTCTCGCAGCCCAGCGCGTACCAGCCCCTGCGCCGCCGCCGCCGTAGCTGCCTCGGCTAACCTCCCCCTCCACTAGTTCCCTCCCCCTTCCCTCCGCCCAGGCTGGACGGGGCGGGGGGGGCACTCGGCTGGGCCCTACTTCCGGCTCCTCCTACCCACGCCCCCAGCTGGTATTGGGGATCGCTAACTGCCAATCATTTCTATGCCCGCCCTTCCACTGCTACTGGTTAAATAGTCTGTCTGTTTAATAGACTCGCCATCTGTTGGTCAGAACTGCACGGCGGTTGCTGGGGACCGCCCACAGGTTCTGCCACAGGCGGCGCTGGAGGACGGGGCGCGGCGGGGGACACGGCGGCCACTGAGGCGCTCGAGCGGGTAACGGCGGCGGCGGCGGCGGCGACGTCGGGCCCTCCTCCTTCTTCATCCTCTTCCTCCCCCTCTCCTTCCTCCTCTTTTTCTTTCCGGTCGGGTCTCGTCCACTTCCCCTCCCAGGGGCCACAGCTTTACGGTACCGAGGAGCTCGGGAGGCCAGGGTGGGCCCGGCCGTTGGTGCGGGCTGTGGGCCCCGGGCCTGCGGCTCGGAAGCGGGAGCCG